ACATGGCAAAGCAAATTCCCTCAGTCACAAGCCAAGTGTCTCCCTCACTGTCTTCTAAGACGCTTTTCCCACTTTGCTGGTGATGGGAGTTACCTAGGGCACTTGTTAAAGATTTAGCCTCCGAGACCCCTCCCCTTGGAAAAGCTGCTTCAGTGGGTCTGGGGAGGGGTCTGGGGATTTTATGTTTGACAAGTGCCCCAGGTGATTCCCATCACCGGGAAAATGTGGGAAACACTGTTCTTCGGGGCCTTTAAATTAGAAACTTCTCAGTAGCTCATTTTATTGAAATTCCTAGGTAGAGGTGTCTCTGAGCTCCCAGGGACCCCCGAAGCAACAAGAGCTGTCCTGAGCAGCTGCCCTTGTGTGATCCCAGTGTGACGTCTCGGAAGGGGCCTGGGCCATGCCTGACTCTGCTTCTCACTGGCCATGTGACCCTGGAAAAGACCCTTGAACTTTAGTTTCTTCACCTGTAAAATGGGGCACTTGGACCAGGTAGATTGCCAAAATACCACCAGATCCCAAGTTCAATGACAAACTCAGTTTACTGCGGTTTGAGAGAACATCCCTCTAGGGGAGCCTGGGAGCTCTTCTCCTAGTCTAAGCATGTACATGTCATCATTTGCCTTTTTTTCTGTCCCTCATTTCAGAAAAAGGGGTGTTTTGTTTCGTTTTGTTTTGTTGAAGCACTCAATTGCAATTTTATTTTTTTAACCCAGGTCTCTCTAACGTTGGCTTTTGATACCGAACAATTCAAAAGCGGGATCTGAGTTTGGAGAAAGATCTCTCCAACCTAAGAGCATGTGATTTTGAAACCAGATTTTTAATTTAGTAGCCAGTGTTCGTAGTCTGTTGGATAGATCTTTCTGAAGTGTGTCTTCTCAAGTGAAAATGTCACTCTCGGTTCCGAGTACTCCGGTTCTCCGTTCTTGGGGTACTTGAATATGTAAAAACCCTGCACTTTGAAAAATCAGCAGTTGCTATCTAGAACTAAACAGAACTACGAGTGAAATTGCCTGGATACTTTTTAAAAAATGTCCCTGCTTCATCTCCTTTGCTCCAGGACAGACGGGAATATAAGTAGTGGGTCCAGGTGGATGTTTAAGGGGTTCCAGGGAGCCAGTTGAGGGCCCGGATGCAAACCCTCATGCCCACAGGGGTACGTAGCTGTGGCATTGGTCCAAATGACTGTGACAGTAATGTCTGTGACCTGAAGAAGTTGTTTTCTGACAATCACCAGATCTTCCTAATAACATCGGAAACAGCCATTATCTCAAAAGATTGAGATTTTTATGGTCTCCTCTTTGCTTTGTTCTAATTTCTCACACACCCCAAATTCATCATTGTGACTTTTCTCCCAAGTTGTTATTTTTCTACTGCATTTCCTCTTCATGTTCTTTTAGCACAAGTTGGCACTTTATCATCCACCCCTCAGTTTGGAAGCGAGTCCCTCTCCTCTGTTGCTTTTCCCTCCGCCCAACGACCACAGCTGTAATCTGGGAGATTCGTAGTCATATTTCCTACTACACCCTCATTCCTCAAGGCTTTCTGTGAAATTAGGGAAATGAGGCAATAACATCATGGGGTTGGATCACCATCCCAGGAAGCGAGAGGCTCCTTTCGTTGGCCTCAGGCTGCATCTCTTGACCTGTCCTGACAAAGCAGTGGCCAGGTACCGGCTCCATTCAGGAGGAGAAAAGACAGCCCTGTGGTCACACACTGGCGGGGAGCCTGGGGACCCAGAAGCCCTTGGAGCCTGGTCGCAGGGCAGTTCTGGTGGCCCCCTGGAGGAGAGGCACGGCTTGGGGTGTAGCCTTTGTTGCCGTCCAACCAGAATGTCCCCCACAGGACTGGGGGGGCCGGGTCCCAGCTGAAATCTTTTCAGTGTGTGCCTCTGAATGGCACTGACATTCCATTTTGGCTCACATGAAATCGACTGAAGCCCTTTGTTCGAGCATCGGGCTCACGAGCATGGAAATGAGAATGTGACTGTGGCTGTCTTACAGGAAAATTCTTGTCTGTCCCTGAATGAGAGCACAGAGGCATTGAGTTCACAGAGATGCAAACTTGCCTAGTAAACAAGGGGACAGCACTTTACATGTGGTCAGCTTTTTCCTTCCTCCAGCTTCACTTGCTTCTCTTCCTAAAATCCTTCATTTCTGATGATAACGTGAGCGCTCTTCTTGCTATTAAGGTTCTGTTTGGGTTAAAACAAGGCTGAATTTTCAAAGAGCATTTGAATATTATATTTTTAAATCAGGTTAAGGATATAAGACGTAGACAGTTCTATTGCAGGGATAACAGGCTAAAAACCAAGGAGGGAAAGCACCCCCATTTCTCCTGGTTGTACCCCCCGAGTCCTAAAGGCTTGAAAGATGCTGATGAGTAACTGATCCCAGTCAAATTAGGATTATCTGGAAAATGGTGTCAGGTCTCCTTGATTCATCTGTGTTAGAACGGAGTTGAAAAGACTTGAAGAAAACCTCTTGTCTCCTGCTGTGAGTTTGTACCAGTGATTCCAGAGCAGCATAAAAGCAGAAAGCTGTTTGTTGTCACGATATTCTTTTAGCCTCTGAGCAGCATCTTACACTTACAGGGAATGCTCTGACAAAGTGTAGGAGTGGAAATATGCCTGAAAGAGGAGCATTCCTTTCTTGACATGGTGTTACGGAACCAGAGTCCAGGAGGCCTGGGTTCTCGTCCTGTCTCCACTCCACCTCTCCAAGTCCCAGTTACCTCACCTTAGACCATCTCTAAAACCGCTCCATCTAGTTACCCGTCACCTGCCTGAACATCCCCACTTGCCTCCTACAGCCCTTGCAAGTGGAAACGGATACTGGGAAGGGACTCGGAGAGAGGGAGCTTCTGCAGGAAGCCTTTGCTGGGGAAGACCCTTGATCTTGCCCCAAGCCCTGTGTCTTCGGCCTCTCTTCAGAGTCTCCACTGTCATCTCAATATCCTTGCTGTTCCGAGGTGGGGGTCTTGTGACTGGGACAGGTGCTGACCATTGGAAGAAGGCGAATGTCGCCATCCCGCTGTGTCCTCAGGCAGAGCACTGAGCATGCCCAGGGCAGAAACCCTTCCCGCTCAGGCTTTCATTGGGAAGCTCCAGTCCTCATTAAAGCTGAACTTTCTGGGTAGCTGAGCTGATACGCCTGGCATCCGAATGAGAGCTCTCTTTGTAACTTGTGGTCCATTCTGCCAGCTCCTGGGAAACAATACGTGTGTTCTTGTTTATGTTTGCCAGACAAGCAGATGTCCGAGATGTGAGAGGTTTTTCTTTCCCTGTGGCATTGATTCTGAACTAGAGCTGAAGTAAAGATCACTGAACTCATCTTTGTCCTTCAGGCAGCACAGGAGAGTGGTTAAGAAGCATTTCTCTGCAGCATCTCCCAGTATCCTCTGCAATCCTTTTCTTTGCCCAGAAAGCCTTAACTTGCCTCCAGAATATGCCCTGGTATTATAACAATATTGTGGCATTAGATTTCCAGTTCTTCTGCTCTGGAAGTTTGAAGCGAAGCCAGAGCAAAACCAGAGAATTTCTGCACGTGGCCTGTACGCTCCTTGTTACGTTAGGCCCCCCACCCCTGGACAATATGAGTGATCCAGAACTGGCCAAATGCCTCATCCCCGAATGCCCGCCTGCCTTCTTGGCCTCACTCTGTTGTCCAAAGCCATTTAGATTGGATGCCTCAAAAAGCCCTGAAAAGGGGACTTGCGTGGCCTTTAGAGGGCAAGCAATTGAGGGAAGGGTCTCTCCTCCCTCTGTTATCTAAGCAGAGGGAAGTGCCCCCTCTTCGTAAACGAGGATTGCTTCTGCCAAGTTGTATTTGAAGCGGAGGGAAGGGGGACTGGCCGCTGCTGGCAGTGAGCACTGGATTGCTAACCAAAACCAGAGCTGCGTCCTCTGCCTGTGTCGCTGCCACCACAGCCTCCAGATGCGGGGGCCCAGGCACCCTCCCGAAGGGGCCCTTGGAAGTAGAGTCCGGCTCGGCAGCCATTCTCAGACTCCCAGACAGTAGACAGCTGCCCCTTTTGGAAGAGTCAGTCCCCCCGTTTCCTGAACTGTTTTTCCTAGCATGGGTAAGCTTTCATGTATCTCTAATGAATAAGCTGAAGTGAATTTCTAATCAGTGGATTAAGTCCTTTTAACTCAACTCCTGTCAATTAGTAATCAAATCTATAACCTACCTTCTGTTCCTTCTAGTCCGCATTAGCAAAGAAATCTACTATTGCCGTAAGTTGGGGACAGTCCACTTATAGCACCTGCAGAAACACCCTTCATCTCGCTGGGCATGCTCCTTCCAGACCACCCACGTTGAGCAGCCAACAGTCACCGAGAATAATTGCTGGCCCCCTTGGTCCTGGCGTCAGCCACTCCCCTCTCAGGCTGTTCATGTGGGTGCACCAAGTCCCTGGGTGTAGGAGTTAGGTTTTATTTGGTTTTTGTTTTGCCTCTTCAGTTTTCCTAAAAGACAAGTCCATGTGGAACCTTCTCGCCGCTCCACACCAGTTCCAGGTGACCTGGGTCTCCCACTCATGGCCTCAGGAAGGCCTTCACTGTACCTGAGCTTCTGACTCCCACCACTGCAGCTGCCTTAGCGACACCAGGGCCGGGGCCGGGGTGGGAGCCAGTTTGCATTTCCCTTTCCCCGGTTAGGCTCCGGCCCACCACATCCTCCCGTTGGCAGATCTGCTTCCAGATTGGTTTTTGAGAACCATCACTTTTACATTCCTCATTTTCGTTTGTTTTGTTTTATTTGGATTTTCTGAAACTTAAAATGCTGCCCTGAAAATAATGTATTTTTGAGTTTGTGTTCTGAAACCCTCCGTGCTGCTGGGCTTTGGGGGGAAATACAGAACCCTTCAGCACCGGGGCGTTTAAATTCGCAACTAGCAATGCAATTTTTTCTAAATACGAGGATATTTACCTTTATTAAGAAATTATACTAAACAGTGGTGTCCTAGATCATTTTATGTTCTCATATTACTTTTGGTTCTGTTTTGATTGTGTGTGGTGGTAAACAAAGATCATTACAAAAAAACCTGTAATTTTGTTATCTTTGATTCAGTGGAATTTCTTTACTTAAAAAAAATAAAAGACTAAAAATGTTGGCTGGCTGTGTGTCCTTTGTATGGTGGAGATTTTCCATCTAAAAGAATTCTTCCTGTATGTTCACCAAAGCATGAGCTTGAAGGAAAATCGATAAAACACCAAGTTCTCATCACGATTGATTTTTAACCCAGCCTTGCAAACAAATACCAAAGAAATGAACAGCCCATGGTCTCCAGGCAAGAAAGCCAAGGCCTGAGATAAGTGAGATATCAGCATTTTAATCACTTGCTCTGTAAAGTGAACCATGGAGAGACAATGTAAGGTGAGAGGTAAGTGGTGGTTCCCATGCATGATTTCTGTGCTTTTCTAACAGTGCTTTGAAAAGACTGGGTGGACATCACCTAAACTAAGATTATATTGGGTTGACTGAGTGGTGGAGGTGTTTTCTTCTCCTTTGTATCTGTCTGAATCCCAGCTAAGGGTCTCCCAGGGCCAAGCACTGGTCCAGCCAGGAGAGTTGTACCAGTCCATGCTCCCCTGCCCGAAGAGTCTTGCACTCAAGAGTTGTCTTCCCTCCTTGGCTGTGCAAAACCTTTGACAAGCTAGGTGGGGTGGGGAGTGTTGGTTTTGGAGGATGTGCATTTACATGACCTCAGAATGCCCAATATCAAATTTCAAAGTGCATCCCTCTGCTAAGCAAGCTTCCCCCCACTTCCTATGCCCCACAAAATAGCCAGGCTATTTTGATCCATGAAAACCAACTTGTAAAAAATACTACCTATGAAAAGTACCAGATGGAAGAGATTCCAGGCCCAGGGTGTTAGGTAGGTCAATGCCAGCAGCTTGCCAATATGGCGGTTTAAGACCACCAGCTGTGCCTCTCCTAAGGCAACTCTAGAGATCTGTGCTGGGTCACATTTACCTATAATCACTGGCTGTGCAGATGGTGCCAATATATTTTGTATTATACCTTTCATCAACAGCCCCCTTGGCTCTAGCCCGATAGGGAGTACTTTCCCATGGCGCGCACCAAACCCCAAAGTGGATGGCCCTCCATATGTACGACAGCCTCCCTCCTCGTTTCTTTCTTGGGATGCCCCCTTAGGAGAGGTTAGGTGAATGTGCCAGCCGTGGACCTGGGTGGTTAGGAAGACGTTATGGGTAGTTTGGCTTTGAATGGCTGAACCCCTCCCCAAAGAGGGGATAAGTTAAACCCCTCTCTCCTGTGGCTGTGTGCCACCCAGAACTTCATTTTGATTCATGCTGTCTACCCCATTTGGAATTACACCACCATCTCTACTGAAGACTGTTTGGTTTCCTCCTAGTTGTTTCCTCCTTTATCTGATGATGGTTAGTGAAACTGACCTGGAATAAATGAAGTTCTGATTTCATTGTTTTTTTGCCCCTCCTATCTACACCTCCCCGAATAAACTTTTGATGCAAAGTACAAGTTGTAACAGAACTAAAGGGATTTGGAGCCAGAGTTGCTGGGTTAGAGTCCCATCCTAGCCACTTCCTAGCTCTGACCCTGAGCAGGAGTTAACCTCAGGTTTTTGTTTGTTTTTGTTTTTCTCCTGTATGATGGGAATAATTCTAAGAATGCCTATGTCTGGATATTGAGAGGATCAAATAAAATAATATTTTTCAACGTGCTAGTGTTATTTTGGGCAGCGGTTTGGGCATTGTCTGTTTGGTTCCCGCTCATAAATCACCTTCTGGGACAGTGTAGAAACCAGAAGAAAAGAGTGTGTGGTGGTGCAGCTCCAGCCGGGGATGTCTAACTGCCGGGCCCACGGGGAAAGCAGAGATGGGCCTGGGTATAGTTTTCAGAAACATCCCTGGGCTTGGAAGTGCTGACCAGCCACACGTGTGCATCATCAAACTCTGATCCTGATCTCTTCCTTCCGTAATATAGCCACCTTGAGAAATCAAGGGATGAGACCTATACATTTCCGCCTGATGGCAGGGCTACTGCTGGGCACAGCCCCCAGGGAGGAAATTGCTGTAATTCTGGACCAGATAGCCAGGCACCTGCTGCCTTCCCAAATGGGCTTTTGCAGTCCTGCTTCTCTGTCCTCTCTGCTCAGGAAGAGCCAAGTGCAGAGTCTGCCTTTAAATCCTTGGATTATTAAAACTTGCTAAAGTGGGTTCCTCCATATCCTCGCCTCCACATGTCAACACACAAGATTTAGGGCAGTGCACCTTTGAGCCACCTGGAGACCTTGGAAAGATCCTGATGCCCAAACCACACACAGCCCAAGGACATCAGACTGTCTGGGGTTGGGGTCAAGGCCTCAGTAGTTTTAAAGCTCCCCAGGGAGCAGGGAGGTTGCAAATCACTGCTTTACTGTGCAGTCTCCAGGGAATCCTATTAAAATGCTTCGCTGGCAAGCTCCCTGGACCACAGTGAGTACTGAGGCTCCTGGGGATCCTGTGAGCATCCAGACCCAGCACTGCCGAGTTTCCTCAACACCAGAGCCGCGCCTGCCACAGAAAATGAGATAAAACATGGTCCAATTTGCCCCTTAAGCGACTCTTCAGCTCTTTTCCTGGCTGGCTTAAGACCAGCGCATCCCTCTTCCATGTAGACTTTGCCAGGCAACCAGGCAGCATTGGCAAATCCAGCTCCTCCACATCCCTTGGGTGAATTCGAGGCTCTGAGCAGTGGCCAGAGGCTCTGAGCAGTGGCCAATCTTGCTCAGAGGCTCCGTGAAGCTAGTGGCCCATTTCCCCACCGAGACGCCCATCCACACCTTAACAAATTGCCTCCATCTGCTAACAGACAGCATTGCCCGCAGGTCCACATGAGGATGGCAGAAATGTATCATGCTCTGTTCAAATTACTTTTATGGAGCAGAATCCCTGCCTCATCCCAGATGTTTCCAGAAAGGAAGCTGTTCGGGACAGCAAACAGTTGTCATAAAATTCATGTTTTGTTGTCCCCTTTCCCACATTCGGTGGCTTTCAAAAGAGTATTTTATTGGCCCTCTTCCTCTCTCTCATTAATGTGGGGGTGGTGGCCCCTTTAGGAATCCAGCACGTAGGCAGCTGGCATTTTGTGAGGCTGAGCACATCAGACTATAACATTGATGGTCCTCAGACATGTTCTCCCAAAGGCGGCACCAGGGGGCCTGGGCAAGTTCTGGCTCAGGGGTCTCTGTGCATGGAGGGGCAGCACCAGGGCAAGGCCAGCAGGGGGCGCTGCTAGCCCATAGTCAGAGCCCACTCAGGGGTCCCAACCCTGCAGCTTCCTCCTCAGAAAGCCCCTGGGCTTTTGTGTCAAACCCAGACCCTAAGCCAAGGCCGTAGCCCTGCTGACTTTAGGGGGGACCCCAGCATCCCATTTGGATTTGACTAAGAGCCAAGCTGCCTAAAGAGCCCCTGGTCAGCATCGGCCTGCAGTTTTCTCCACATCCTGATCTCACTGATAAATGAGAGCCCCCACAAATCAGAGGGTGGGCCCAGGCTGGTCCAGGAGGGGTCCCGGCAATCTGGGGCCAGGGGAAGATGGGAGTCAACCAAGAGGGATCAGCCACTGTTTCCCTCAGATTTGGGGCACGATTCGTTTGAAAACCAACTAAAAGTATACCTTGAAAGCTTAAAAAAATGCTTATTCCTTCCATTTCTTTAACTCAGCCACGTCCTTGTCCCCACTCTACCAACACCTGTACTCTGGGGTCACCAGGGCCCCTCATTTGGCAAATGCAAATCTCCATTCTCTTATCACTTGACCTCTCAGCACCATTGGACAGATGTGCTCACGCCCTTGTACTGGAAATACCTTCTCAGCTGTAGATCTTCCGAGAGATGCCTCGGGGTGAGGCTGCTGAGCCCCCTTCAACCAGAGCAGCTTCACTCTTTTCAGGCTTAAACACTAGAGTTCCATGTGAGATTTGATTTGGAAAAGGGGAGCTCAACTTTGAAAGGGTTTGAAGAAGCGTTTGGGGAAAATTCTCGCTGGTCAGCCTCCCACCCTTCCGCCCACAATAATGTGCTGTGATTCCTCCTCCAGCTCAGAGGTCCTATGTCAATGTCATTTATGACCATGGATTGTTGACTGAACATGATAAACAGGGTATTTGCTTGGGTGACGAGCATACATTGCAAACCCTAGCAATGAAAGAAAGGATGTAAGAAATAAATGCATATACATATGTACATTCACGTAGACATGTACATGTACATAGCCACGCTGGAAAACAAGCAAGAGGGCTCTCTGTGGATCAAGAAGTTCCTGAAGGAGTGAAGGCAGATGGGACTGGATTGAACCCACAGCCCAGGAAGCAGCTGACGGTCCTGCCCCACAAGGTGGGTGCAGCACCAAGGGTGCTCCATGGCCACAAGGAAGGGGCTGACCCCCAGGCAAGGGTAGAGAAGTCTTGGGATGATTACTGGAGTACCTCAGTGGGAGCAGCCAGGCCAGTCGACCCTCACCCACCACCCCTAGCCAGACAACAGGAAGAAGCATCTGCCTCTAGGTGGGAAAGTCAGGGTGGGGTCTTGGGAGAAGTATCTGTCAATGCCTGGGAGCCCCACGCCCAGAAGAAGCCAGCCCTTCCCCAAGAGGGAGCAGCACGCCCAGCAAACCAAAGCCTCTAACAAAAATGAGCACATGTTCAAAAATCACCAAACACCCGAGGAAAGCATTTGCATTCATCAAAATATGCAGAGCTGGAAAGTAGAAGTTCATGACTGTAAAGTTCCTGAGACGGAAGACAAAGAAAGCTTGCAGTGCATAATTGAGGACTGAGAGTGCTCAGAGAAGACAGCATCTGTATATCTAAGGAAAATGGTCGTTGAGGCCAGGGGTCTGGAGGAGAGACCCTACAGACAGACAGAGGGGGACACAACTGCCACCTGGAAGGAGGTCTAAGCTCCTGACCATCACTACACATGCACACATCAGATTGCACCCGACTCGGGGACCAGGCCACCGCAAAATGGAGCCTCTTCAAGGCTGCTTCCACTCTGGACTTCATGGAACACCCCTCCCCTGCCTACCATCCGCCAAGATTACTGGGCTTGCCAGATCATTTGCCCTTATCCCGCCCCCCACCCCTTTTATCCTTTTATTGTATTTTTTTGGCCAGGGAGGAGACTTTTAAACCAGCCTCCCTATCCGTTTTCACAGACCCTAAGTAGCAAAACTGTTACAAAGGAAAGAAATCATTGAGAAGCTTAATTAGAGTCTTGGAAACTCAACCCCACACAAGACACAGTCCTAAAGCTTCAGAAGCAGTAGGAATATAACTGCCCCCAATTCTTCTCATTCAAGGGAATTCCCCCTGTTTTATTGCACCCCAACTTGGGTGGAGGGTGACACCTGAGCTCACCCAAGCTTAGGGAGGTTCAGGAGCATCAGTCACTCCAGGCAGCCCTTTGCCCAGCCTTCTGGGTCCAGGACAGCTAAGGAGAGGCCCAGGGATCCTAACTACAGGGCTGACAGCAGGAGACGTCCTCAGAAGGCTGTATTCTCGGCTTGGGCCCGGGGGCCAAAGAGCTGTTCGGCGACGATCTTGCCATCGTACTTAGGCAGGGTGCCTCCAAAGTCGGCTGGCAGGATGTCCTCGTCGATCTCCTGGAAGAAGCCGGAGAGGTCATCTCCGTGGACGTAGACCTGCAAGGAAGCAGAGGAGACAGAGCTGAGCAGGGGGTGCCCTAGGATATGGGTTGGAGGGGAGGAAGGGGAGGGGAGGACAAAGGCACAGTATGTTGTCTCTGCCCAGTCACGTCCTTCTCCATAGTCCTCCATGTTGTGCTGTCTGCGGAATCCACTCAAATCAGGACCATGGAACAGAGTCTGGGGAGGGCTCAGGTGGGGTCCCCTTCTCCCCACACTACCCCGTCTTGTCTCATGAACCCTTCCCGCTACAGCCCCCACTCACTCGCTCACTCACCCACTCACCTCGCTCACTGAGCACCTTCCCTGCGCGGCCCCGCACTCACCCTCTGGAGCAGCTTGCTCTTCAAGAAGGGCTTGACCATGTTGTAGGTCGTGGTGAAGTACCATGGCTGGTGGATGAAGTGGATGGCTTTGAACCGGGCCGGGAAGGAATCCTGCAGTGACAGAGAGCACCCCGCCACACAGCCCCCATGGCCTCAGAGGCTGCCACTCACGCTCCCACTGCCTCTCCCCATGCCGCAAGGACAGACTTGTCTCATCACACGGCTGCCCCAGAGGACAGCCCACTGAAGGTTCCATCCCTGGGCCAGCACCTGGGGCACCCTGGCTGCACTGAGGCTCCAAACTGCTGGAGGGAGGCCCAGAAGCCACACGGCCCAACCTTCTCCCTGCAGATGCATAAAACCTGGCAATTAGGTAGGTAAAGAAATGGAAGGGTCACCTCGCTTGCTGCTTAGGTGACTGAGTTCTTTCAAACCCACTTGCCTGCTGAGTAGACTGCAAACTATTATAGACCACAGGGACCCACTGTCATGCCTCATGGTCCTCCAAACCCTCCCACGACCCCCACTTCCTTTCCCAGACGCACATAAGTAGATTTAAAGTTAGCTCTAAGAACGGACTAACGACACATCAGTATATCCAGGAGGGAGTGGTCAGGGGCGTTAGTGACATCCGTTTCTCAGGATAAATTCACATTCAAAGAGAGGCAGTGTGTCATAGGCCGACAGAGAATGTGATTCCAGATCAGAGAGCGTAGGTTCAAGTCTGGCCTGTGCCATTTTAGAGTTTCATGAACTTGAGAAGTCAGTCGAATCTCAGCCTGGCTTTCCAGGTTTGTAAAATGAAGCAGGGAAGCAGCGAGAGAACGCTCTCACGGGGGAAATGAATTCATGGATGTGAACACTTGACACACCATTGATCACCCTGCAAGTGTCTGTGGTTGTCATCGCTCTTTATGGTTATTTCTGTGGGATAGATGTCTAGGTGGTCATCTTCTCAGGTCCCTGCCAGCACCATAAAACCAGGAAACCGGGCCCAGCTGCCCAACATGTGAGAGGCTCCTGCAAGACAGCTTCCGAGGCCTCACCTGGAGCATGTCCACCATCTTCCTGAGATCGGAAGCCCGGAGGCCGGCGGCCTGCTGCATGGTAAAGCCCTTGAAGTTCTCGATGATGCAGAAGCCGTTAATCTGAGTCTCCTCGTTCTCCAGTAGCTTCTCCAGGATGAAACAATATGCCTGCAAGATCTTGGGCACAAGGTGAACAGGCTGTAAGATCTGTCCCACAAAGACAGTAAGGCTCAAGGTCCCGAGAGGAGAGCAACCTGCTACATCCTTTACTGGAGGTGGCTTGTCACAGGCTTCGAGGTGGGATATTCCACTTCCATGAGTGTATCCCAAGAAAATAACCTTGAATATCATATCTATGGTTAGATGCCAGAAGGTTTGTCCCTGTGCCCTTATAATAGTAAACACATTGCAAACAACCTAAATGCCCAACAATAAGTGGCCAGTGAAATTATGATACATTCATGCCATGGAATATTCTGGAGCAGTTAAAAATAATACATAAGACTAATGATACAGGAAAATGTTCATTCATGATATATTATTGTAGAGTATGATCCATTTTTATATGAGAAAAATATGCGTAAGTGTGCATGTGTGTGTTTCTAGAAAAAATCAATTGGAAGGATGTCAATGGTAGAAATCTCTAGATGGAAGAACGGTGGATGACTTTACGTTTGTGATTTTTTGCATTTTCTAAAGAGCAGATATCACTTATGTCATAAGAAAAATATTTTTGTCTCTTCCTGAATGTGTCTATACATTCACACACACACATATATGCTTCAGTCCTAAAGCCAGTATCTTATTTAGTGGAAAACACTCTAGGCATCCCTGATAAGAGCAGGAACAAGATAAGGATGTTGACTGTCTCCACCACCATTTAACTCTGTGTTGGAAGTATTAGCCAATGCAATCAAGTTAAAAAAAATCAGTGGCATAAGCAATAGAAAAGGAAAAGAAAAACAATTTCCTCTATTTACAATATTAGGATAGTATTCTTGGAAAATCCAAGAGAATCAATTATATAAATAAGAAAAGAACTCAGTAAAGTACCAGGATATAAAATTAACATACAAAAACAATAATCTTCATATACACAAACAATAACCAATTAGAAGATATAATGGCAGAGAAAGCCTCATTTATAGCAACTACAGTAAAATAAATACTTAAGACAAACAATGAGAAATGTTCATAAGGTTTATGTGGAGAACTTTAAAACGCTCCTGAAAACTCAGACGTAGGCTTGTGAAAGAGAAGGCGTCCCTTGTGGACAGTACAACTGGCCAAAGATGCTGCATTCATGAAGATGCTAATTCTCCTTGAGGATGTTATTTATATTTAATGTTATCCCAACAAAAACACACCTAAGCTTTCTCCTGGGGCTAGACAAGTTAATTCTAAGTTCATAGGGGAAAATAAACATATAAGAATAGCTAGGAAAGTCCTGAAAAAGAGGAGGAATAAGGACAGAACCAACCCTAACAGGTATCAAACATTCTATACAATCTCTATAATTAAAACAGTGTGGTACTGCAGCATGCATAGACGGAGACCCCTGGCACAGAACAGAAAGTCCAGAAATAGACCCAAGCACACATGAAAATACAGAATGTGATAAAGACAGAATCTCAAGTCATTGGGAAGAAAGACTTTTTAACAAATGGTGTCGGGACAACTAGATAGCATTTTCTAAAATGAGTTTGCACTATTTTCCTTGAAGGCTTCGTGGCACACGCCAAAGTTCTCCCAACACAAACCCTGACTGCCCCGCTTAGGGCAGCTCTCTCAAGGGCTTGACAAGCGAAATCGCATACTTATAAATGCAGAGACCTCAGGCTGCTAATCAGGTTGGAACCTGTGCTTTCTCGAGTCTCTCCTACCCACAGGCCACTAACCCCTGTTCTCTGTGTGCTCTCAGCTTTCAGCAGTGGGAAGGGCTGACCCTAGCTCACGGCCTACAGCTGTCACTCCCACTTGGCAGGGACACCAGGGGGCAGCCATGTACTGGCCAGTGAGCTCTGCCTGCAAAGCTGCTGGGTTTCCAGCTGCCCTGGCACATCCTAGGAATTCCACACGCCCCCCAAAAAGGGCTTGGTGGCACTGGCTGCCTGCCTCTCCCCTCCTCCACGGACTTCACCTCCTGGGGAGCCAGGAATGAGGGTCCAAGAGAGGCCAAGATTGTGGGAGGGAATCCAGCCCAGAGGGTGGGAGGGAGCCAGGCGAGCCCCCACTGACCTCATCGAAGGTGATTTCTTCACAGTCCCAGTTCTCAATGTTGAAGAGCATGACCACTCGGCCATACCTGTCCCGACTGGACAGGACACCAGGGTAGCCAGCCTCGATGGTGCAGCGGACAGCCTCCAAGGACAGGCTGTTGAAGAGCTCAGGGTACTGAAGCCGGAAATTCACGTAACCTGGGGGAGGGAGAGCAGAGGAGCCCCCTCAGGAAGCCCGCCCATCCTGGAGTGGCACACGGTGGGAGTCCAGAGACCTGGTTCCTCCACATGCGTCCTGTGTGTGACCAAGCAGGATACTCAACCTTTCTGAGCCCCATGTTTCCTCTCCAAAAAATGGGAGGATAATACTGGCTTATCTTACCAAATTTTTGCAGGAATTAACAAGATGCTAGGTATGAACGTCATTTGTAAACCGTACAAACATGAGGCGTAATCCTAAATCCGAGGACAATTATTACCGATTTTCTCCTTCCCATGGGCAGAGGCACAGGTTTTTCAGTTGGGCACAGGGTTAGCTGAGTGAAGGGGGGAGAAAACTCCAAAATAAAACCCAAACCCCAGGCAGGCCACAGACACCCCTCCAAGTTCCAGCCGCACTCCACTTCACTGGTCCTGATTAGGGTCCCCCTCCCTGTGGTGGTCTCCACCACCAAGCCGGAGGGGCCAGGCCCAGAGGAGGTGTTCCAGGAGCATCAGGAATGCCACCGACCCCCTCTCGCTGCTCTGCGACACCCCAGCACACTCCCAGCCCAGCCTTCGTCCTTCTGCTCCCTCTGCCGACTGCTCTTCCCCAGAAACCTCATTTCTTTTGGGTTTTTCTTCAAAAGCTCCCTTTGCAATGGGGCCACCCCGGCCACTTTTACCTAATACTTCAACCCCTCAATCCTTTACATCTGCCTGCTTTATTTTTCTCATTCTCCCTTCTTACTATCGAACAGTCTGTACATATTTATTTTATTTATGTGGTTTATTACTTCCACCGTTAGAATGTAAGGTCCACAAGAACAGGTGGTTTTGTCTGCTTTGTTCCCTGCTGCACCCTTTGGCCTAAAGCGGTGGTTGGCACAGCCCGGCAGTGAACTGACATTTGGGGAAGGAAAGATGAAGGAAGAAGAGGACAACCATCAGCCTGCAGAGGGTCGGCGCAGACACCCCTCCCTGCACCAGCACCACGCTCGGGATTTCCTTAGGAAACTCGTCTTCCCTCAGCCAGCAGGGCCAGGGCAGTTCCGTCCCCGGGGCTCCTTCCCAGGGCTGGCGCCATCTTCAATTCCACTTTGCAGAGGTTTAGGTCCCTGCAAGGAGTCAGGCTCATACCCACCTTCCCTGCAGCACTGCAGAGCCAGAGCCGGGGCTCTGGGGGTGGGGGACGGGGATCCTCCTCTCCTCGGGCACCCAGTTTGGGTGACTCAGCTCTACTCATTACATCGCAAGACTGAGAGAGAGGAGAGAGGAGCCGGATCTCTAGGAACCTGATCCTGCCAGGCTCCTTCATTCACTGTCAGAACTGACAGGGATGATGTTGGAGGCTCTTTAGCTCACACAGCGCTGTACAGATAAGGGTAAGGAGGCTCAGCTCAGTGAGAGGCACTGCGCAGGGCAGGCAGGGGAGGGAAGTGGAGGGGTGGGTCTCCTCACTGCTTGGATGAAGGTCAAGGCCATCCGCATGACCCCCCCCGCCCCAGCCTTCCTAGGGCCGGCCCCCCAGCGCAGGCCTCACCCTTGAGCAGCTCGTAGGCGCGCCCCACGTGGAACTTCCGCGCGCGGATGAAGCGCAGGAAGAAGGCGCTGTCCCATCCCTGCACCCTCTCGGCCACCGCGCGGGCCAGCTCCTGCCCAGAGGCCGCCTGCGCCTGCACCAGCTCCTGCAGCTCTCGCACCACCTCCTCCCGGGTCTCCTCCGTCTCATTCAGCTCGTCCTTGGCCTGAAACAAGGGGGTAGTGGAGGCGCGAAGTCACGAGCTGGCGCGGAGCAAGACGCACCGGTGAGTCTCCCACCAAGGCCAGGCCGGCTGCAGGGCGGGCGAGGGGCCTGCCGCAGGGCCAGCACCCCTCTGACCGCCCACAAGGGCAGCATCTGGAGGGGCGGCGCCTCCAACTGCCAACTACTGCCTCTGAAGAGAATCAGGTCAAACCGCTCATCCTGGGTTTGTTTGCAGGAGACAGGCAGAGGTCTAAATGTTTCTAATCGTGACAGCCTACACCCGCCGGAGCCCTTCCTTAGCACCCTGCTAAGTCCTTTAAGGGAATTATGTTTTCACATCTTTGCCACAACCCGTCACAGCAAGGTTGGTATTCTTGTCCCCATTTCTCAGGATGAGCACACCGAAGCTCAGAGAGGGGAAGATATTCTTGTCCGAGGTCACCCAGACAGAAAGAGGTGGAGCTACGACTCCTGCTCAGGCTGGACTCTTAATCGTTTTCCTCTGCTGCCTCCTAGGCTTAATTCCAGTCTTTTCAAAAACAAAGATAGCCAGCAGATGGCAGCCTACCCTTGCCCCAGAGCCGCACCTCCTCCCCTTGGCCGGCCTGGGGAAGCCCCAGGATGTCTCAGGTAGCCCTCTCTTTGGACAGCATGATGGGGGAAGGCATGGGCTGGGGAGTCAGGTCTGAGGAAGCTCAGAGCATCTTTCCACTGAGACGCCCAGGGAAGCAAAGACAGAAGCCAGGAGCTCAGGCTCAGCTCAGTCCTAAGACAGCTCTGCCAACCTCTGCAGAGCACAGTCTGATAATCTCTGAGCTGGTCCAACAACCTTCTTTCATAGGTACAAAATGCAACACCCAGAGAGGGAAAGCAGTTTGCTCAAGGTCACACAGCAAATTGGAAGTAGGTCTGATTCTAGAACTCAGGCCTCTTGCCTATCTAGTGGGGGCAGCAGTTGGAGCCCCGTTCTCCAGGGCTACTTGCAAACCACTGTTCCTCACATGTGAGTCTAGGATGATCCCTGGTCCCCTGGTCCAGAGGCCCTGGGTCTTGGCACTGGTTTCACGGAACCATGTTGGTGCTGTAGTTTTGGATTAGGCTGGTTTGGATGTCTGGTCAGCCCAGCTGCTACCATGGCCCTGACCTCTAGGATGGCTCCTAGAACCGGCCAATCCATTAGGTCCAGGATGACCTGGAGAGCTGGGGCGGGACTCTGTGTACAGGAGGGAGGATGCTATTGACATTCCCCCCTGTTGCCTCCCTGGCCTGCCCCTCCCGGCACCCTGGGGCTCCTCACCTTCTGCAAGGTATGGCGGGGTAGCTGGCTGCACCGGCCAAAGACAGGCCCGTGGTCCTTGGTTGTTAGCCGCTCCAGCTGGGCACGGAGCTCCTGTTCCTCTTCGGGGACCATGCGGAATGTGCCCGCCTAGGCAGAGAGGAGTCAGGGAAAAGCAGGACGAGGCCCCCTTCAGCCCAAGCGAGCCACTGGAAAGGGGCTGCTCAGACCCTAGATTAGTGCTTCTGCCCAAGCTCCTGGTAAGCCTCCTCCCTCTGGGTGTGTCAGGAGCCACAGAGAGACTGTAGGAGTGAGAACCCATCTCCCTGGGCAGCCCAGATGATGGAGAAACAGGGAGGGAGAGAGGGTAGGAGGGAAGGCGGATGGAGGGGAGCCCAGGGGAAGGGGTACTCACCCCCTCTGACATGCTGCCTCTGGACGACTCGGAGTCCTCGGAGAAAGAAGGGCCTGCTTCCTGCGTCCTGGTCCCTCCAGGCCCCTCCTCCCTAGGAGAAGAAGTCGGGGCTGCAGTGGTATGGAGGGACTGTTCTGATACTGTCTCAGAACCACGGATCTCAGACCGTCCTGTGCAGCAGAATCACCGAGGGCGTTTGTTAGAAATGCAGGTGCCTGGCCCTGCAGCCTGTGATCCTGATTCAGGAGGTCTGATGGGGGCTCAGGAATCTGCACTTTAAAGCAGCACCCCAGGTGGCTCTGAAGATGCCTCTTGGGCGACGCTTTGGCAAACCCTCCGCGAGAAGGAATACACGCAACAAGACCTCAAACCGCAATTCTTAAGACGAGTTGGTCCAGCCAGGAAAAAACTCATGTTGGCCTCCAATCTGTTACATGGTCACTGCAGGATAAGGCAGTGCCTCCTCCCGTTTGTGGCCCCCCTTCTCCAGCCCAAAGGGGGACCTCAGAAACTTCCCAGCCTATTGGATGGGCCCTTCCCAGTCCATTTGTTCCCAGGAGGGGTGATCACTAGTTACATAAGCATCATACGGGGTGTGTGTGCTGTGCTTTGTGACGCACTAAGTATTTTCAAATCGACATCTCAGAGCCGGGGCTGGCATTATTATTCCCATTTTACATAGGAGAAAACAGGCCCGGGAGAATAAATGACTCGTCCAAGGTCACACAGCCAGAAATAGCCAGGGATCAGGACTCAAGCCCAAGCTGTGACTTTCAGCACCAAGAGGCAGCCTGTTGTGGCAAAAGTCAGACCTGGGTTCTGAGATGTGATTGTCCCCTGTGAAAGGGAGATGGGAGGGTTATGAAGATTTAATTAAATAACGTACACAGAAGCAGTGCTTGGCCATGCTTGGCCACCAGAATGAATCTCATCCATTGCCCACATGACAACCTGCTCACCACTGAGTATTCTGGGAGACAGCTGTCCTGTTTCCAGGTTTTCTCCTCTCCTACCTAAACATCCCCAGTGCCTTCAAGGACCCATCCCCACCCTGTGCCTGCCGCTGACCAGGTTCCCAGTGGTCAGTTCTGTCACTATTCACTGTTGGTAAGTGGCAGGGGTAGGGTTTGAAGCCAAGTCTGCTTTGACACCAAGAGCCAGGACTTCTCCAGGCAAACTCCCTAGGATAGCTGGTGTCCCGGAAAAGCCTTTAGCATCAGAGAGACCTGGGTTTGCATTTACCACCTCTGTGACCTTAGGCATGTTATTTAACCTTTCTGAGCCTCTGTTTCCTCATCTGCAAATTGAGGATAATAATCGTGCCTGCCGACTAGAGTTGTAATGAAGATCGTATGATTTCTGTAAGGTACATAGCACAGTGTTTTGCTCCAAAACATAGTTTCCTTTCTCTTTCTTAGCATTCTACTGATCACTACCCCAACTTGCACAGAGGGACTTGGAGGATCCTGGAGAATATCTGAGGATCTCCCATTTCCTGCCTCTCCCACTCCACCACCCCAGCCAGGGCAGGGAAGGTCTGGAGGCTGTAACCCAGCAACAGGAACCAAATCTGAGCCATCTCTCTGACTGGTAGACTTCCCAATATGCAGACGTAGAGATGGACAGACTGAAATGCTGCTGTGCTCTCCTTCGGGTTTTGCTGGGACAGGAATGGAGAAGCTGCTAGACCTGCCCGGAGGAGCTCGGACAGGAGAGGCAGTGGCTGGACACCCCCTAGCCAGTGAAGCAAATCATGAGGACAAGATCCTAGATCTTAGACGTGGAAGGTTAAAGTCACTACAGCAACTCCTTTTTAAATACGCCCAATCTGTTAACTTTGGTTTTTTAAAATACTGATTTATGACCTGTATACAATGAAAGAACACCCATTCCCACTCCACATTGAGTGTTTTCTAGGACTGCCAGATAAAATACAGAATGCCCAATTACATGTGAATTTCAGATGAACAACAAATACTTTTTTTTTTAAAGATTGGCACCCGAGCTAATCTTTTTTTTTTTTTTCCCCTCTTCTTCTCCCCAAAGCCCCCTAATACATAGTTGTAGATTCTAGTTGTGAGAACCTCTGGTTGTGCTACGTGGGACGCTGCCTCAGCGTGGCCTGATAAGCGGTGCCATGTCCGTGCCCAGGATCCGAACCGGTGAAACCCTGGGCCGCTGAAGCGGAGCGCGAGAACTTAACCACTCGGCCACGGGGCCAGCCCCAACAAATACTTTTGAAGTATGTTCCTTCCAATATCTGGGATATCTTTATACTAAAAAAGTATTTGTTGTTCATCTGAAATTCCCATTTAACTGGGTGTCCTGTATTTTTATTTGCTAAATCTGCCATCAGGTTGGTCTGGCTCAGCCCGGAGAATGGCCAGGTAAGATTTGTTTCACAGGCAGCCTGGGATGTGGTCTCTACCCCCACCCGCCCCGGTCCTCACCCCAGTCCTGGGCTCCCTGGCCCAGTCAGGCCCCTGCTACTGACTTACCTGCTAGGTCGGCAGCTCCTCCTTGGGGCCACCTGGTGCCTGCGTCCTTGGGGAGCCAGAGCGGGGAGGTTGCCTCCACTGGGGGTGTGGTCCAGTCAGCAGCCTGGGATTAGTGTGTCACAAGGAACTTCTCACGGCCCACAGTTTCCTGTTAAATCGGGCTCACAGGGAGGCCCAGATTGGGGCTAGCGAAGCAGCAGGGGGGAGAGGGGACTGGCCTGGGCTTGGCTGGAGCCACCTCAAAGCCCTCCTTTGTGTGCGTCCGCTCCCGGGTTCCTGCTCAGCCATGTGGAAGCCGGGCTGTGGGCGTGGGATCTGGGCCAGCCCCATCCCCTCTGCCCTGCCCTCTCCCTCATCGCAGGGGGTCTGAGAAAGCACACCTTATACTTGCAAGGGAGACACACAAGAGAGGGAGGGACATTTTCAATGTGTTTGGGGAGGCAATGGCAACTGTGGCGGATCCAGGGCTTTCAACCTCTCCTCCAACCCAGCGGGGCCTGGCGTGGTAGTTGTCAGCTCCACAGTGAGTGGGGCCAGGTGGGAAATGTCACTGGTTAAGGCTGAGTGGGAAGAGGACAAGACAGGCTAACCTGCCCTCTAAGCAGAATGGAGCAGTGATAGGCGCCTGCTTGGGAACCAGACACCCACTGTGAAATCCTAGCTCCAGCACCTTCTAGCTGTGAGAAGTGACTTCACTCCTCCGTGATTCAGTTTCCTCCTCTGAGAAGTGGGGATAACAGAGGACAGGCTCATGGCTTCAGTGAGGATGAGGTGCTCAGCTCATTGCCCAACTCTCAGTAAATGTAAATGCACAGTAAATGTTGGCAGTTACTCCAAATACAGAATCAGGAGGATCTGGGTGGAGCGGACTCGTATTATCTAACTCTCTGTACAGCAAGAAATCCCTCTGCAGCCCGTCGACTTGTAGCTTCAGTCTCTGCTTTGGTATTCCACAGCGGTGGGGGGAGGCGGGAAGAGGGATGGTGAGGTGTGTGTGATTATTTAGAATATTTTCTCTCCAGGATTCCAGGGGCAGGGAGCTCCCTGTTCCCACTACTGGAAAATCCCCCTAGTTTTAAAACTCATCCTTGGTCTGAGCCCCAAGCAGCCTTCCATAATGTCACCCTCGGTCCTAGTTTTGCCTCCTGGAGGCGCCCGGGCCAGGGTCAAGCTCCTGTGTGCAGGACATTCTCCAGAATCCACCCCCAGAAATGCTTTTTGGTTTTCCCCAGAAGTAGTTCTTGTTTTTCAACCCATTCCTACCTGGGGATAGGTTTGGGGTCTCTTCACCCTCCTGTGCCCTCTCCAGAGACCCTGGGGCTTGTGAGAGTGTCACTGAAGGGCAGTGCCCTGGGGCCAGCACCTGACCCTGCCTCTCGGGACCCCTTCCTCTAGAGCAGGCTACGACACCTGAGGCTTGGATGTTGGGGTGCAGCAGAGTAGCCTCAAGCCCTTTGCTCCCAACAGCCCCTTCTCTGAGCTCCTGCTCTGGCTGCTGTTTGGCTCTTGGGCTGTTTCACTCCCAAGTTCTCTCTGGAGCCGGCGAAGCCCTCATTTCTGTCATTCTGTTCCCTGGCAGTCTAGTCCTGCGCTGTCCAATACAGAAGCCACGAGCCATATGTAGCTTTTCAGCGCTTGAAATGGGGTCATATAACCAAAGAACTGAATTGTTAATTTTATTTAATTTGAATTAACTTAAATTCAAATTTAAAAACTGATGCTGGATTCAGTTATTAGAAAACTTTTAAGTAGGTTGGGAACAACTTAGGTGTGTGATTTTACTTTTTCAACTGTAAATTTTGTGATCAAATATTTCTGATAAAAATTTCAAGTCCAACGTGAGATGTGCTGTCTATATATAATACCTACTGGATTTTGAAGACTTAGTACAAAAAAAAGAGTTTAAGATTTCTCATTAACGATTTTTATATGGCTTCGTGCACTGAAAGGATAGTGTTTTGGAAATATTGGGTTCAAAATGTATTAGTGTTAATTTCACTTGTTTCTTTTTACTTTATTTTGATGTGGTTATTAGAAAACTTAAAATTTTCTAATTGTAATTTAATTTTAACAGCTCCCGTTACATTTGTAATGGACAGTGCTGGTCTAAACCTTGCCACTCTTCAAAGTGTGGCCCACAGACCAAGAGCATGAGTGTCATCTGGGAGCTTGTTAGAAATGCAGGGTCTCAGGCCCTTCCCCAGACAGGCTAAACCGGAATCTGCCTTTTAAGAAGGACCCCAGGTGATTCGTATGCACGTAAACGTTTGAAAACCACTGCCCTGGAGAGCTTCCGGCCCTCTCCCCACCTGCCTGTGCCCAGCACAGTACCTTGCCTGACCTCTCACTTCCCATCAACTCTGAGGATTGGTGGGGAAGTAGACTGGCGACTTCCTTTGGGGGCAGGGCAGTGGTGGCCCACTTAGTCATTTCTGGGGAGGCAGCACAGAAGCGAGGACAGAGAGGGAGGGTCTCCTGCCCAGGTTCTAGGCCTGGCCCTGCCTGCTACAAGCCATTGACCCTCTCTGGCCTCCGTTGCTACACCTGTAAAATGGTGTTATGGGCTTAATTGTGTCCCCTGTCCGCCCACCCCCCCCAAATTCATATATTGAAGTCCTATCCCCCAGCACTTCAGAATGTGACTGTATTTGGAGACAGGGTCTGTAAAGAGGTGATTAAGGTGAAATGAGGTCATCAGGGTGGGACCTGATCCAATGTGACCGGTGTCCCTATAAGAAGTGGAAATTTGGACACAGTTACAGAGGGAAGATGATGTGAAGACACAGGCCAAGCCAAGGAGAGAGGTCTCAGAAGAAACCAACCCTGCTGAGACCTCCATCTCGGACTTCTAGCCTCCAGAACTGTGAGAAAACTAATTTCTGTCGTTTAAGCCAGTCAGTCTTACGGCAACTTCGGCAAACTAATACAGATGAGATTTTAGATTTTTTCCCCAGGTGCTTCACAGGGCGTGAGGCTCATTGGAGACGATGAGCGTGAGAACTTAGGCTGCTCCATGGGGGCCCCAGAAGAGGCCCTGTCAAAGCCGGGTGATGGACTCCATCGTGAAGAACATTCCTTCCTGTGCATCAAAAACACTTCCGAGTTAACGGATAGGAGTGGGCTGCACAGACCTTTTCAGGATGCTAGCGGGTCATGAAGCCCTTTTTAGGGAGCAGGGCTTTCTGTGGCATTACCTTCTGCTCGCAGCCCTTCTCCCGCCTCCGCACTGCCCTTCCCCTCTCCCCAGGGTCATGTTCATGTCCAGCTTCTCCAGCTGGAACAATAGTGCCACTGTGTAAGGGGAGACGCTGCCCTCATTGGCCTGGACACCTGTGCTGGCCACACTGGCAGACAATCATGGACTTCCTAGCTCTCTCTGCAGGCTGGAGGCCCGCGGGGAGCATTTGCTGCGCCCCTATTCTTTACAGGGGCAGGGGCTTTACCCGCATTATCTCATCCAGTCCTTCCAGATGTGAGGCAGAGAGTATATTCTCCCTTTTCACAGAATAGGCAACTGAGAGTCAGAGAGGTGAGGGGACCTGCCCAAAGCCACACAGTGGTAAGGAGGGGAGCCCTGGTCACTCTAAAGCCCTCGCATCATTCAACACACAAGGCTGCCTCCTCTTCCAGAAGCAAGATCGAAACAGGTGTGACTGCCCAGGGAAGTCACACCTGCCCCCTGGCTCCTGGGAAAGGTGACATCACCTCACGTTCCTGGGAGCAGCCCCAGGGGGCACGAGTCTGGTCAACACCATTGCCCCATTGGCTGATAATAATTCTCCCAGGCTGGGGAGGACCCCAAGGAATGCCCAGGCCTCAACCCCTCCTTCGAGAAATGGGAAAACCCAGGGTGATGGACATTGTGCCCCTTGTTAAAATTACACAGTGGTAATGAAAGTGTCCTGACTACGTGGGCTGACCCACAGGGCTGGCAGCCCCCTCGTGCTCTAAAAAGCTCTGCCTCCTCCAGGAGGCCTGCTCATTCCACAAAGAGGAATCTGTCCTGTGGCAGTCGGGGACTGGAGGTGCCCGAGATTAAAGCAATGAGGAGCAGCATAATAAACTCAATCAGTATTTTAGAATTCAGTAGGTTTAACCATATGAGGAAAACAAATAGGTGTTCTTGGAGGGGAACTCAGCTTTAACTCCTCACTGCCAAGAAAAAGATGTGTTTGCTACAGACTGAATGTTTGTGTTCCCCCAAAATTTGTATGTTGAAGCCATAACCCCCAATGTGATGGTATTAGGAGGTGGGGCCTTTGGGAGGTGATTCGGTTTAGATGAGGTCATGAGGGTGGGCCCCCATGATGAGATTAGCACCCTTATAACAAGGGGAAGAGACACCAGAGCTCTCTCTCCACATAAACACATGGAGAAGGGCCTTGGGAACACATGAGAAGGCACCATCTGCAAGCCAGGAAGATGCTTCTCACCAGAACCTGGCCATGCTGGCCCCCTGATCTCATACTTCTAGCCCCTAGAACTCTGAGAAAATAAATGTCTGATGTTTAAGCCACCAAGTCTACAATATTTTGTACAGCAGTGTTTATAGGAGGGAAGCTGTAGCAAGGGACAGGTTAAAGATTAAGGTTGGAGGGGGCCAGCCCCGTGGCCAAGTGGTTAAGTTCACACACTCCTCTATGGTGGCCCAGGGTTTCGCCGGTTCGAATCCTGGGCGCAGACATGGCACCGGTCATCAAACCACGCTGAGGCAGCGTCCCACATGCCACAACTAGAAAGACCTACAACTAGAATATACAACTATGTACTGGGGGGCTTTGGGGAGAAAAAGGAAAAAAATAAAATCTTTAGGAAAAAAAGATTAAGGTTGGAGAGGTGTAAGTGATAATAACGTCTTCACTGAGAAGATGGAAGGGTGGGGGATTCACTGCTCCAGGAGAGGTACCAGCCTTGGCCTGGATGGCTGAACACTCTCCCATTGCTACAGGGAGCTGAAGGAAAAAACTGGTACTGACAGTGTGTTTAAAGATTTGGTGGTAAAGTTGAGGTCGTCTGCAGAGAGTAAAGGAGGAGACAGAGAAGTCTGAAATAATCCTCATGAAGAAAGGAAGGATAAACTCACTAAGGGAAGATTGTCCGGCAGTATTGAAGGCCCCCTTGAGATTGGTTACAGTGACTTTTTAGGGGTACCCATGAACAGAGTCAGGTGAATTCCCCAGCACAACCCAGCAGCCCAAGTATAGCTCCAATGAAGGAATATGGCTGGCTTCACACAGGGTTAGAGTTTGCCAGATGGGTAGGTTGGAAGGACAGACAGGGGCAAATTGAGGATATTGGCAAAAATGTGGTTTAAATATTAAAGCTTGGAATTAAAGATGGAGGAGGAGGTGGGGACAGCGGAGATAAGAGTATTCTAAGTGCGAGTAATTGAGCAAACTGGACAAATGGAAGTTGACGTCCGAGTAATGATTTTTGGCGGTGGCTCGGGATGTGAGCAGGAGAGTAAGTGGCTGAGGTGACATGGATGAGAAAGTCATGGAGATGGGGAGAGAAGCAGCCAAGAGGTCCTATGTAGGATGGACAATCCACTTCAGTTTTGCAGCCATTTAGGATGACAGGAGAAAAGGGGTGAAGTGGAAGATGGTAAAAAGGTATTCACCTTTTGTC